CAACTACTATGGCAGACGACTTCGGACTCGGTGCGTTCTACATATTCTCCCTGAACACAAGACCAAGTTGTGACAAGGAGGTCAACCCACTTCTATAAGTCGAAAGGAGACTGCGACCATACCCGAGGCCACAACATCTTGGTCTTCACATCTACAAATTTCTAGTTTAAGGAGGAGAATGTTAATGCAACCGCATTAATTATTTACTCGAGTCGAAATGGCCACTTAAGACGGTTAACATGTTGCTATCGTAAAGAGCCGCGCCCAGGTGTAATGCCGCTGAGACGAGATTTATGTCAGAAGGGGGATGCAAGGAGCGACTGAAGATGAGTCGATCCTGATTGGCCAACCATGGGCGATGGATAGGCTGTCCGGACCGGGTCATCGCTAGCAGGTTCAAAAGAGTACAAAACACACAACTTACCGATAGCCTAAAACACATCTTCGAATACCATGCACACACACACACACACACACACATTCAACCACCACTCACGTGAATGTGCTCACAGGCTGTGCGAAAGTGGGGCTCAGGTCTAAAGCCGGTGGCAACCCGTTTCAGAGCAAGAAATTCCTGTCTCTCCGCTGAACTAAACTTGCCAGAATCGACGAACTTGCAGCGACGCAAGGCAGAACATGGATCGGAGCGATCTGAGGGTCAAAAGGAGTCCAATTTGATGGTCTGAGAGCATTCATATTTGTATGTGTGTATTGGATACGTTCACTGTGTGTATGTAGTTATGTGTTTTGTGCATATGTTGGTGTCTGTCTGCTCACACGATTGACGCGAACGCGTTGGAAAGTGTTTAACATAACTTCAATGTTGAAAGGAGGTCTCGAGGGACGGCACTAAAGGAGCGGAGAAGTGGGCGAAACTGGGTCGCGGCTATAGCCTTGAGAGACGTCATCGGAGTCCTGACAATAATCCGGAATGCAGCTGGCCGCAAGTATGAGCCCAACCTGGACAAGAGTCCTGGTAAGCGTCGCCAGATCGATCTGATCTGCGTGTTAGAAACTGGTTGCTGTGGTTATCGGTACAACCACAAGTCCGGATTCTGTCCGGACTTGGCGTGCAGAGTGTCGGGGTGAGGCTGATGGTACCGTGACAACGGTTGCAATGCGTCCAGTTGTAAGTTTACAGATACAAAGAGTGATTTGGTTTTGATGACTCTCGTGAGATAACATTGTTGAAGAGTCTTTCCTTCGAGATGAAAGTGTCCGAAGAAGAGACTGGAAAGTCACTCTCATCAGAAGACGACGGCTCATTTCTGTTGTAGTGCAGCCGTTTAGCTTTAATACGGCGCTCAGATTAATGCATTCCACAAGACATCTTCCCTTGCTTTGTATTAATTTGACGCTTTTACGAGAATGAGTGCCAGATCAGATGACGTCCAGCATAGGACGAATGAGAGCTCGAAACGAGAGAGGATGCCTCGTGAATCGCGTCGACATGAAGGTCGTATTAAACGCAAACGGCTGCAGTACAATGCGAATCTGCCGAATCTTTTCTTCGCACACTTTCCTACCAAATGAGAGTCTCTCCAACAAGGTCTAACCAGTTGAACATGGGCAATGTCTTCGTCTTCACATACGGCTTCTTTACCTCTTCGGTTTGCCGTCCGTGATTTGATGGCGACGAGAGCTTAGACGAGCTGCAATACAACGGGATTTTGCCATCATCTTCTGGTGAGAGCGAACATTGAATCTCTTCTTCATGCAGTTCCATACGAAATGTAGGTCCCCCCAACAGTTGTAATAAGGTTTAAAGAGAGCCGAAAGCTTGAAGAGAGTGTCAGTGAAGAGAAGGAAGGTGTCACTATAACACAAAGCAAGGGACGAGGTTTCGTGTACTTCATAAAGCTGCACGTCGTATTAAAGCAAATTGCAGGCAGTAAAACAAAAATGAGGCGTCATCTTCTGGTGAAATTGACTTTCGAATCTCTTCTTCATGCACTTTCATACCCAATGAGAGTCTCTTAAACAAAGTCTGACCAGTTGAACATAATCAGCGTCTTTGTCTTCACAGACGGCTTTTTCGCGTTTTCCGTTTATTCATTCAAACTTACAAAAGTTATGAAGATTTACATTCTGAATAAAACCCACGAATCTCTTCTTCATGCAATTTCAGACTAAATGAAAGTCCCTCCAACGAAGTCTGAAACAGTTTAAG